GGGGTGGCATGACCTGGGCAGGTCACGCCGGTTCTGCAGAATACCAGTCGCCGACACGTGCTGTCGGAGCGCCACCTGGAAACTGCGCCGCCTTCGCCGTAGTCGGAATGGCCTGTGCTGTCGTCGAGTCAAGCGCTTGGGCCTTGTAGATCATCGGAGCATGGCGCAATTTCAGATCTCGAGAGGCGACGCTGGGGTTTGCACCTAGGGCCGCTGCCTGCATGTGTCTTCCATGGCCGGATTGGCCATGATTTTGTGGCGTGAGGCCAGTGGTTGGGTCGGCTGGTGGGTTTAGATGTTGAGGGATAACTCTCCATTCGAGAGTCGCTGTCTTGAGAGAGGCCGTCGCCCAGTATTCTTGCAAGGGGGATTTCAATCTTTCCGGTTAACTTTATAGATGGCCACAGTGGAATGGAAAAGCAGAATACATGGGGTTCTGGAAACTTGGCACTTCATTTTTCTGCACCAACCCAATTCGACATTATTTCCTTCACTCATATCATAGTTGTTAAAAGTACAAAGTGATTGAAATTATCTTCTTAGTAGATTGATGTAAGATGTAGAACAATCCTATTATAAATAGGATAAAAGTTAGTTATTTTTATAGGAGGATTTTTGTTTTATTTTACATTAGGGTTTTGTTTCCTTTCAGTAACATTTTCTAGTTATCTTATTTCGGTAAAATAAAGATATATATATTTTTTTGATAAGTAATTAGAGAATATATTAATCGGTCAAGAGATAATACATGGGAAATGTATTATCAATTTAAACAATACAGGAACGACATAAAATTAGGCAACCCTTCTATATGGTTATTAGCCACAGTATTAAACCAACTATACAAAGTCAGATAAAAGAATTCTCTGAACTGCTCTGTTGTTCTTGATTGGTCTTCAAAACAGCGGCTATTCATATAAACAAAGGCTTTGTATCTTTGTAAATCATCAATTCAATACAATAAAATTATTCTCTACTAATTTTCGAGTTTTTCAACTTCTCGTTTTAAGAATTTTAATTTTGCTTCCGACCACATAAGGTTCCTTTTCTTAGAGGAGCAGTGATTTACTAATGAAAATCGTACAAAATAAAGCATTATAGAGGGAAAGAGCTCATCCAAATCGTACTTTAGGCCATTTAAAGTTTGGAAGGTTCTGTTACTTTGAAAGAACGCAAGGATTAAAAGAGAGGGATGCAGAGACGGCTGGTAAAGAGAATCAATATTATTCATAATGTAGGGATGCAAAAGTTCACTAAATTATAATTATGTCTTCATGAGGATTCCATAGGTTCTGGCTAACAAAAGTTCACTATATTATCTGTGCATGTTTGAGGGGAGGATAAATCCCACGAAGAACAATAGTGTCAACAATAAGAGATCTATGTGAAGAAATGTTGTCAGTAATAATACAAGCATGAAATAAAAAGAGAACAGAAACAATGATTGACAGAAGCAATAAAATTGTGCACCTGCTGAAGCTTCTTTTCCATTTCACTGAAAAGTGAGATGTTTCCGACATATGAGTTTCTGAAAAGTAAGAGATAATTAAGTCTATAAGTGGTCTATATTTTTTATGCACATCAGGCAATATTGTATCCCTACAAGCTAAACTACTAGAAGGACAAGGGGATATATTTATGAATGCATATTGAACAAATTCTATTCATTCCAAAGTTTCAGAATTGTAAGAGAAGGCAAGTCCTCAAGCATGGAAGAGAAAAATCTATTTTGCTTGTTTTTGAATCACTTGAGATATGATATGACCCCATAATAGCTTCTTAAAGCAGGCAGTCACAACGAAGGACAATTTCCAGATGGACAATGCATTAACCATTAAGCTCACCATCCAGGAAAGACTGGCAATCTAGCCATTAGTAACCCTTTTCAGCAGGACAAATCATTCCCCTTGCTCCTGGGCACCCAACCCAGGCAAAAGAAGTAAAAAAAGAAGAATACAAGGGAACAATAACACCACCGCATTATTTGGTATTTGCTTATTCATTGTTCAATCATTATATGGCCTGCATAATTTTTGCCTTTCCTCAGCAATTATCCACATACCAAATAGCCATCTTTATCAAGCAATTTTGCTGACAAATCTAATAAGAAATGTGCTAGTTTTACACCTTCGCACACAAAATCCTCCTACATAGGAGGATCCAAGCCCAACAAGTATCAGACACCGAACACAGGACACATGTCCTGTTTTCTTATACATATTATTTAAATTTTTAGACACCCTTGAACGTGTTTTGACATGCCATATACCATGTCCTAATATTTTTATAATTTTCTAATTTTTAATACACGACATGGAAAAGCCCAACCTAGTAAATTTTGAAACTACTATAATAATTCTGTAAAAAGGTCAAAATAATGTGAGAAAATTTGTACAAACTCATGTTTATTTTATTGCCACTAACTACAACCCAATATTATCTTAATACAACAAATTGGCACTTTTCAAACTCAAAAAAAGATATTACATACAACATATAAGATCAAACTGAAGGATTGATTGTTTGAAAAATACAAAGTAATTAAAAAATATATAAATTTGCAACTTATGCAATATTTTAAAAGACGGGTTTCACTAGTCCATGTGAACTTTTAACAAACTAAAGTCCTAAAGAAAAGAATCTTTAAAACCCTCCCTAGCTGAGGTCAAAGTACCTTTGTTTGTGACCGTATCCATGCTCATCTAGGTCAAAACATCTATTTGCAGTCCAAACAGTTGGCAAAGCAAATTTTGATTAACACTAGCAGGGGAGATGTAAATTGGAAATTATCTAATTTTTCAACTAATCGATCTATTTCCCAGCAAGTCAATGATGCCTTTACTTCTCTTTGTATAAACCCAGCTAATAATATATTTTATTCCTTCATTTTGTTATAATTAGGGATAAGGACTTCGTATGGTCTCAATGTTATATGGAATCATGATCTAAGCAAGCCTGTGTATTCATGATGAGCCAGAAAATGTTGTTTAAAGTTAAGAAAATTGTAATATTGCCAAAGAATATTGGCATAACAGTTAGCAAAAACAGTGTAGGATGATAATTTTGAAAAAATCAGTGATTGCAATACCCAGAAAACATGGAAAGAACAACGTAAATTCTTTGTACAACATGAAAAACACAGAACAAAGAAAAGCTATGGATTTGATTGTTAAACGAGGACGAAGGGGAGGAGAATTATATAGAAGGTTGAGATGGAGCCTGATTGGCCTAATAAGAATGACACGGATCGAGCATACTACCCGTTCATTAGATTCGTTATCCAGGGATAACAATCAAATTAAATTCCACTGATCCATTCCAATCAAAACATGACTCACAGATCAAGGAAATCAAGGTATGTACAACAGAGCAAATGGCCAAGTCCATGTAGAGCCATTTTTTGACTCTGTCGTTCACATTCTTTCATATGTTGAGTGAAGATTTCATGCCATCCACAATAATTCTAGTGTTGATACCAAACTAATTCTTGTAAGTCATCTCAAAACTGATGCTGAACTAATTAAAGATTGGATTTGGTAAAGCCACTTGTGCATGATAAAAAAAAATCAGAATTTTGGGCTCTCTCTTATTAGCAGGTCTCAGTAACCTACTAATAAATGAAGAGTGATAATAGTGGTTGAAATGAATTATTGGTGATACAGTTCAACCATGACCCAGCCCGAAGGAAATCAAACCACAGCAACACGAGTAACCTTCCATTACATTCTTCCTTCCTCAAACACTCTACTAATCTCAATGTCGTTGAACTACAAGTACTGAACATATGTTTGTGCCGCGCCACAAATGTGTGCGGCAGAGCAATAGTCAAGTCTTTGTAGAACAGGTATTCTGGACCGTATCCTCATCATTCACCTATTTTACAAAGATTAACCTCCTCCAGAATAATTCTGGTGAGTCCACACGCAACTGATGTCTTGAACGTCCAATATGGCATTTGGCAGGAGCTGCTTACATGCGGATTAAGCATTTGTTTGATCCCAATTATTTGAGGAAAAACAATTTTTTGGTTAAAATTAAAGGTGGGCCCATTGAAGCATAAATTACATTTGTTTGGCAGAGAAATAATGACAATGTTACATTCTCTCTCTATTCCAATCCCATCAACAAATAGTTGTCTGATTGGTAAAATACCCCCAACCATAAATATCTCTATGCTGATACCCTTCATAGGTTGGTTTTAGGAAAAGCACTCAGGGGTAAAATAGTAAATCACTCTTCCAAGTCTGGGCAAAATTGGAAAGCGGGAATTGGGGTTCTCGGAGCGTGTCAAAGGAATATATTGGGATTTCCATATTGCATAATATTTAATTAGATTTCCTCAAATTCAAAATCTCACAATCTGCTAAAAAATCATATTTTAATCTAGATCAAACATGCGCTAAGAATTTGACCAGCGCAGTCTGACTACTGTCTAGCTTGCTACTCAAAACAAAATAATTTTCAGGAAGACATGTAAACATGCATTAGTTGACTGACCTGAAATCAATCAATGGACGGATATAATTTTGACCGAACATGTAGTAGTCAAAAGGCTCTCGAATGGCTTCATGATGTGGTGAGAATTCAAAAGGATCCTGAAAAAGTGATTATAAAGTGAACATGAAAAAAAAAAAAAAAGAAGAAGAAGAGGAGGAAGAAGAAGAAGAAGCAGAGAGCACGATGAAGTTTGACAACCAACCAAATCAACAAATTAATACAATACTGAGAGTGGAGCAACTACCCGCACATCCATGAAAATACGATCTAATGCAACAGCCATATTAGACAAAACAATCTCCTCGGCTTGGGGCTGTCCACTTTCGAACACCTGAATGTTGAGAGTATAATCAATTACATACATTCAGACATCTCAGAATGCAAACAGAAAACTTATGATCCAGCAAGCTGAGATCAGAATACTTGAGAACAAAAAGCACGTCATGTGAAAATTCTCCTACATACGCATTGGAAGGACAAATATTTAGACTAGATTTCAGATTTTATCGGCTGCTCAAAAGATCGGAAAAGTAGATGGGTTTTGTGGGGTTCGAGATATGTCTTGGAAGCAAAAGAGGCTTGAAAATAGAGCAATAGAGGAAATTCTGAAGGCTGAACAGCAGGCTGATGAGCAGGTCCATAACCAATAATTTGTAATTCGGGAGTTCTTTCTCATATTTTATCAACCAAAAGGTCAATTGCATTGCTTTTTTTAACAAGTGTTAGAAAGCAATAAACCCAACCATACTTGGCACATGCTTTACGCAGCATTTTAGAAAATCAAGTGTAGCCAGCGGTAACAAGCAAGAATGCATAATGCACTCAATCAACCTTTTTATGTTGGCTAGGTAGTATATTGAACTCATATGTTAACCTGTGAGCCAAAAATTTGAAAAGATACAAACCCGACATCGTGGAAGTGTAAAGAGACATCCAAATGTTGTTCAACAAGTTAATCAAGGAATCTTCCAGGCCACTCTTCTCTTGTTACACGAGGCTAAACTTTTTTAGATCAATATAAATGCCTAGAAAGTCATCTTTCAAGAAATAAGCACCAGAAAAACTGGAATGTTCAAATGAATTAGGCAATTGATGAATCAAGGTATTCTTGCCTTATTAGCAATAGTCAAATCACGTTTTACAGTGATGAGAATGTCATAGCATAGCAGATATACAACTCAGTTTTCAATCATCAGAAAACTTAAATTAACAATTCATTCAAAAGGATAACTTGTGAGTTTGATGAAAGCACGTGGAAGATGGGCAAAGTAACACATCAGGTATTAAATTTATGTAGAAAAATGTAGTTCTGGCATTATTTCCATTTTGTAGGTTTTTGATATTGAAGTTTAAGCTCAATTATGGAAGGGATCGTGTTAGACTTCAAGGAGTTCTTTGACATATAATATAAAACAGAAATAGATTCGCATTTTGCAACTAGAAAAATATGCACCAAAAGTAAATAAGCGACTCAGGAGATATGACCGAGTACTTTATATATACTATACTGTAAAAAAAAATTGCACCATGAGCATAAGAAAATTAACTTACTGCATTTCGGTAATTCTGATACAACTCCTCCATACCCTGAGCAATACGTATTGGCAGTCTTCCAGCTTCTGTCTCTTTTGTTATTACTATTAAAAGATCTGTACAAAAAAAAAAAGAGTTGGCATAAATGAAGGTAGGCAAATTATGCAGATACTTTTGCAATAAAATCTATTGATACTTATGCAAAATGATACAGTCACTTAGAAAACAAAAGTTCACAAGGGTTTGTGGAGCTAATGGTACAGTATGCTTTCAATCATGGCAGAACACAAAAGAAAGGCCACGCAAATAGTGAAATCCAATGTAACAAGGTCCTATTTAGAGAGAGATTATCCAATTAAAACATGGAACAGAAATTACTGTTCTTACCAAACAAAATTGAAACATAATTAACACTGAGAAGGATGAAATACTACCATAAAAGGAAAACATTTTTCATTCCCTAAATCAGCGAAACTTTCATTTAGTACATTTCAAGGTTGTGCCTCCAAAAGTCCTACTCTACTACTCATATACCATACACCAGAAATTCCAAAATTTTGGATAAATTATACTAAGGAAGCATCAGCAGGCATGACCAATGAGGAATTGCATTTGAACACAAAAGAATATGTAGCAGAGAGAAGTGGAAGCAGTGGATGTTCAGAATTCATTTTTGACGCATAGCATTATTAACTTCTAAAGGTAGACCCCTAGAGAAGTTACAGCTCTGATATACATGGACTCTATCGATATAAAGGATAGTCGATCCAATGTTTCAGAAAGGTAAAAGGTTTGAGGCTTGATCTCAAAAGCCCATTATTAATATAATATTCTCTCTTAATATTCCTTTTATTCTGCTGTTCAGACGAAGAACATATCTAGATTTTTGCGGTGAAATGCTTAGAATGTCTGGTCAGAGATGCAAAACCTTAAAAGACTACAATACCAACTCATCATAATATTATATGCCATTTTGTCCTTTCCATGATTCTTGTTGATAGGTTGGAAAGGATTTCATGTTCAATATCAAGTAGTGTCTGTACGTAATATTTTCCAGAGGTGGTAAAATCAATCCCATAAACAGTTAGAAATTAGAGTTAGCTTAATCTTACTATCGAGACCTAAGATAACAAAGGGCAATATGCAATCATGTGAAATTATTTTGTAAAAACATCATAAAATTCCAAGGATGATTCTCGACTTCTTTTAAGCAAAAGTATAAAGATAGGTACAAGAGCATGTGTGTGGATTACCGTCACAGTGTTCAAAAGAATTATTAATGTACCATAAATAAGGAAACCACGAAACAACATAGAAGTATACTAAAAGACTGACTCATTTTTTGACATCTATTCTCCATAAAATCATCCTGCATGATGACACCAACCAAAACTTTTTTGTCCAGCTTATTATTGGCAAAACCTATGACATGACAACAGGAGTACAAGTTATTTCACATAAATATATGGTTAATTACTACATGAATGTTGAAGTACTCTGCACTTGAGGAGCAGCAACAAAACCTTTTATAGTTAGAAGTCAAGTCGGATATTTTTCCTATATATGACAATATTACTGGCATTAGGCAATCAAGTTCTAACAATAAACTAAAAAAATCCAATGACCCCCTTAAGTATGACAAATTCTACCATGTTGAAAGATGTTCATATGTCGGAAAGGGAAAAATTGCTGTTACAATTATGGGCATTGACAAAAGGAATACTAAAACCATATAAAAGATGTGCCGCACACCAACTTCCTCATTACCACAGTGATTTAGAATCAGCAGAGTATAAATAAAGCAATACCACCGACTTATCCCCAATACATGATTGCCAACAAAAGCTTTCCAACCAAAAACATACAGTGTGTGTTTGGTAGAGATTCTTTAACATTTCCCCAAATTCGTTTTCAATCACACATTTTCTCAATAAAATAATTTTACAAGTAGACCCATAAACTTTTTCCTAATTTTTAACCACTCATTCTAAAAAATTACATTTCACAAAACCTATTTAGTTATAGCCACTCAATTTATAACCATATCCATTTTTTGTGTCCTGGTTTTTACATTTTCTATAGACACAAATGAGACAACCCAGCTCAAAAAAAAATTAATTAAGAACTAATTTCAACAAACCTCTTTTTCCAGGAATTAAGGGAAATGACTAATAAAGCACCTCCAAGTCAATTTAGTTTCATACATACCTCTACCCTAAAATAAAATTTCTACCGAGCATACGTAGAAATAAACAATTAAGCACACACAAATACTTGCATAAATAATGCATTGAATACTTTTTGATTAGTTTTCAGATTCAATCATTCCCCACAAACTAATATCATTGCATCAACAATTTTGATTTTGGAATGCTTATTAAATATCTAAATTACATCGAGAGAAATAAATGACTACCTTGTTCAGAACGAGCATCAAGGAAAGTCCGAGACGACAAAATCTCATGGGGGTCTGAGGAGCTGGACGACACTGTTGCCGCCGCACCTGCACCGCCTTTTTTCTCGTCCAGCATCTCCTCCATTCCTCGAACCTTGGAAGCACAAAACGTGATATACGGACACGGGCTCCTCCTCAATCCAGCGACAGCGGCGACGGAGGAAGAGATTCTGGAAGTAGAAGCTACTACTAATGGAGTAGAATTGGGAAACCTAGCTGTGGTGAACGAAGTGATGAGCGAAGGGGAAGATGAAATAGAGAAAATCATTATAATTTCATTAGTGAATGTGTAGACTGTGGAGTGAGGAAATTGAGGAAATTATGGTATGGATTGAATTGGAATGGAAGATGAGAAAATAATCAGTTTTATCGAGAAAAATATAATTATAAATTTATTTATTATCTCAACGGCACATACTTATCTATCCAGTGTGTGTGTGAGAGAGAGACGTCTATTGGTTATTTGGTAGCCAATTTTCTTGTCCCTTCTTTTTGTCACACTCACACCCAACTTTTTGGATGGAAATAGCTATCACTTTAAAATAATTTTTATCTTTTTAATAATGACGTAATTTTTAAACTATCAAGAGTTACGTATGAGAAAAATTGTATGAAGAATAATGATTGTTGTATAACAATTTTAAAAGTACGAGATAAAACAATTTGAATAAGGTCACGTAGGTCCTGTTTAAATTGGGGGGCCACAACGCCTCCTATAGGTGGGACGCCTGTGGGGGTTGCCACATGTGGAAATTACACTTAACCCTACTTTTAAAGATCCAAATTCTAAAATCAGATGGAATGTTTCAATTTTCACAGATCAGATTTTTCATATTTAAATATTAAATATACAATTTTCTTTCCAAACCAAAACCCTAATTAATTTCACTCTCTTTTCTCTCTCTATATATATCTCACGCTTACTACCCTCTCTCTCTCTCTCCGTCCAAAATCGCAGCCGCCGGGAAGGTCACCGCCGCCTAAAAAAACCTCAAACCCCTTCCCACGTCAGCACCACACACATCTACGTCTGGCCACCACTGCAGCAACGATCAATTTATGGTTGTCGTCGCTGCAGCCACGAAGTTGCGATCTGAGCAACGCCGTTGCTACAACGGAGGTCGATGCGCTCCATTGAGAGTCATTTGCAGCCACGATTTTGTTGATATGGACAGTGGTGATGGCGGCGGCATGTGATTCAATCTGGTTTTGGTGGCGGTGCAGTGGTGGGTTGCAATGGCAGTGTAGAGGTGACCAAAATTTTTGTTGGTGATAGGCGATTTGGTTGTGGTGGTGGGGATGATTTTGTTTGTGGTAGGCAACTTTAATTTTAGGGTGATGGTATGGTTGGTGTATGGGAGACTACTGTGGGTTTGCGAGGTTTGGTGGTGGTAATAGTGACGGTGATGGTGGTTGTCGTGACGATTGTGGTGGTTATGGCGGTGGTCGGGAGTTGAATGAGATGGGGTTTGAGGTGGTGGTGGCGATGGCGGTTTGACGATGAGGTTGTGCTGCCTGCAGGGTGTTTTTCGGCAGTAAGGTGATGGTAGTTGTGGGGGTGTTGTATCTATTTTTTTGGTATATCTGACTGTGGTCGTGGTGGTTTCTAGCTGCGGTGGAGGTGGGTGATGG